ATGAGAATGCAGGTGAAGCTGAGACAGGCCGAGAGATATCTCTTCCGAGCGAGATCGAACGAGGATAACAGGCAGGCGCATCTTTCTTAATTTTCACATCTCGCCTTCGTTTATCTATCGGAAAAGTGCGAACAAGATTAGAGGGATGATTGCTGGCTTGGCAGTAGTGCTTTGGCAGGAAGTGGAGAAAGCTTCGAGATTCCCGTCCCTTGTGTGCACATGGAGCTCCTCTACTCGAGTATTCTGGCTTCGAATTCCTCTCTTCTATGTTCATCGTCTATGGTCTCCATCAGATCCTACGCATCATCCAATTGACTTCCGCACATCAACTCCAGTCAAGTTCGCCGTCATGCTGCCATGAGGTGCCTCTTACAGTGTGGACTGGATCATTTCAAACACTTCAAATGAGTTCACTCTCGGTCAAAATGTGGAGCCAATCGTCCGAAATGGAAGCAACAAAGTGATCGATCTAATTGCCCCCTCGACGGGCTGGAAGTTGTTCTCAGAAGGCCAGTCGCAGACACAGAGCAGCTTGGATCCGAACAGGCTGTACCATTTTCATACTTCTTTGCCGAACGAGGAGATTAAAAAATACAACCAATTCTTACAGGGTCTCACACTAGATATTTGAGCGAGTCCGACCACGAATCGCAACTCACGACCGAAGAGAAAGAGTTCTTGAAACAACACTATGGCGACTAGTTCAGGTTCTTGGTGTCACACGAATTGTCCATTTACAAGGAAGATGATCAAGGAGAAGGACGACGGATCATTAAGAGCTCTCATGTCGAACTGTGATTTTGAGGCAGATGCTCTTGAAGTGGTCAATCTGTTGGAAGTGACGACTTCCTCAATGACATGGAAGAAGATCCGACCTCCCATGTAGCCAATTACAAGTTCAGTGCCGGTTAACTGGGCTTCCTTGAGGCCCATTACGGTTACTCTGGCTGTTCCATGCGTTATTACGGCTTCAAACCTTGGGATGACAATGACTGTGACGAAGCAGTCAGCATGATGAAGGTTTTGATGGCTAAAGCCACAGACGAAGTTTGGGAGTAGGGTGTTCTAAGGAGTTCTTGGACAAACGAGAAGCAAGAACAAAGGTGGGAATGTAAAGATTAGGAGGTGGATGAGAGAAGTTCCTGAAGAACGAGAGGTCACGGAGGTTTGCCCTAAACGGCCCTCACATGGTGTGCTAGCCTTGTAAGTCGCCTGAGGCTCGACTAATCCTCATTACAGGGCGATTCCTGTCGCAATCACTCAGCTGCTCATCCACATCGATGCTTTCGAAGAGAAATGCCGGTCGCTCATGCACTGCGCGTCGGCAATCGATTCGGCAAAGGCAAACATGCTCATGTCACAAAGCTGCCGCCAGAGATTATTGTCATGATCGAGCGTCGACTACTCCGAAAGCGCCTTCAGATGCCGTTACCCCACGGATCTCCGAGCTGGTCATCCAGATACTGTTGCTTCGAGCGTTCCTTTCGCCCCATGGATCATGTCGATGAACGCGAGGAAGGCAAACGACAAAGTGTACTTGACCGTGCTGTCGCCAAAGTCCGCGCCAGGAACCCACACCTAAACACTCTTGTCGACACTACAATTGAGAAGAGTTTGAAGCCTTGTTCGATGAAGCTTTCTCTGAGATCTGTGACGGAGAGCGCCTCGATTTGTCTACACGTAAATGGTTCGGCATCCAAGGCTGGATCGCGGCGATGAAAGACGACATGGATGGAGAGCTGCCACACTATCGCAAGGTGAGCAATCCATCGTACATGACATGCTTGCATCTGATCCTATCTATCAGTTGCTCCACCAATACTTTGGCCTTGAATTTTTTTCGTCATGCATGAAAACATGGACATTGAGACTGGCAGATACCTGCAGAGAAGAGACAGCCGCGTTCTCGAGTCTTGCTTGCCTAACCAAATCACCATCTGTTATCTCACTTTCCCTTCGACGCGCGTTGTTACACACACCGTGATCGACTACGGCTGCGGCGATTATGGCTATGCCGCAGGCACCTCGGGGAAGTCCATGATCGTCCAGCCTGAACCACGACAACTGACAGAATCACTCACCAGGCATTTTGCCAAGTGTATAGGGGCATTGAGCCTGGAACCCTTCGGCCATCCCTCACAACTGCGCAACAGCTTGGGTCCATCCTCAGTTCAGGAACCTCCATAAGTCGTGCCTAGTCCCTACCAGTTCCAAACAAGAAGAGCCCCGGAACAGATCGATGAGGATGATGCAAAGATCGAGTCATCGTTGAAAGGTATGTTGTCTTTCGAAGTTTGTACTGCACTGGAGTCTGGCTAACAACTGTTACCGAGATTTGGAGCTTGGTCATTGGCTCAAACTGGTCATCCTGACTAAGGAGTGATTCGATATCAACGGCATACCAGTGTCAGGATCCTAGTTCTCGACGCGGATCTCTTCGGTGCAAAGAAGGATGCTTGATAAACATGCCCCAGCACACCTATTACCAGACACATGCCATCCGTCTAACATGCCTCTACAGTATGTCTCACTGAGGACTACTATACGGTAGTCTAATTGCTCTGACGCTACCCAGAGTATTGTCGTCATGCTCTGTGCTCCCACCAAGTCTATTCGTTCTGAACTCAGGCGGTCAAGGCCTGCTCGCATCAAGTGGAAATCACTGGCAGTTTCTATTCTTGTTTTTGCTTCACTGGTCTGACTTGCAACTGTGGCTGCTTGCTCTTTCAATTCAGTATATCTGTTCCACTGTCTATGTTCCGAGTTTTGTGTGCATAATATCACAGCCTCCAATCAAACAAAAATGTCCGGCAATGGCAGACGCAACTCAAGAATATGACATCTTACCAAAGCAAATTCAATGCACAACCCAGCTCAGACTGCATTTGTGTCTGTCTGCATTGGGCTAGCGCCTTGCCTCAGACGGCGCGCGCTTCCCTCAGCACCATCGCACACGTCCCAACAACGACGCTTCCGGTATCGTCGTCGCTTTCCACTCATCTACAACACAGACTCCTCTGGCTGTCAAGCGCATTGAAGGATGCAGACTTATCTTAAATGCACCGAAACTTGCGTACCCGGCAATCTGGAAGCTGATCTGACAGCCGTCGTGTCGCTTCGACACACCGCAAGCATCCCACTCCATCCAGAAGCCTAGACGCATTCGGTCCTGACCAACCTACCTGATAGGATCACACTGAACATCCTCGCAACGTACCAGTGCGCCCGACGATATGACCGTGGTCTGTTTGTGTGGTGCCAATCAAGAGCTAGAGACAGGGCGGATCCTTGAGTCTGTATAGAACACTGCATAGGGAGGCACAGTCATGAACGAGCCCGTCGTTACCACTCGAACTTGACCAACCGAGTCGTTCTTTGTCTCGTTAGCGTCGACTCGATTCCTATTCTGGGCCAAACATCTCCACCCGGTCCAACTTTTCGACGTCTCGTCATCCGGACCTTCTCTAGGCCAGCCTTCCTCCTCGGAGTGATCCGCGTCCCGGCTATGTTCCATCGACTAGCTGGGGGCAGCTACAGTCCACCTATAGCATCGGGCCTGCAACAGAGCATTTTCTGCCGAAAACAGGAACCTCGCCTCTTTTCGTCAAGATCATCGTCGACGTTTACCTGCCTTGGAATCCTGCATGTCAAGCGAGTGGTAGAAGCAAGGGCTGTACGACTTCTCATAAGAGGAAGAGGGCGGGTTGCCGTGAGCTATACGGCAGTGAATACCTATGGCTAGCAATTGGTGGCAGGAGTCTTTGCGTCTCTACTATGTTCATGGTGTTGCGTTGCCGAAACTCTGGCAGACTGCAAGCAACTGCTCCAGCACAAGAGACATGACCTTGTAGGTTACCGCAACGAGTGCACTATTGTATAGCTCGTCTGGTCACCAAAGGCTTTGGCGATATCACATGACCACTGATATTTACAGCGTTGACAGATCAAAGGCCACCAATTCCCAACTCGTCCTGACTGATATGTAGATCTTCGTCAGCGAGATGAGCAACAGTTACACTATCACTAGCAGACTATACAATACTCAGCTGGGAGTATGCATTACGTTGCGGCATGGCCGTGCGACTTGACTTGGTCTATGGAGAACACACGTCGAGCACGTGTGACGAGGACGATAGCGTAAGTGGCCATGCACTTATGATTTCCTTCTCCCAAGACTGGCCATCGTCTACTTGTTCTTCACTACCAACGCTCGTAGTCTTTGTCACCACTCGTGTATTTCAAGCCCCCATGCTGCTCACCTTCGTCCGTTAACACGTCCATTGAGCATCGCAACTTTCAGTCGACCGCCGCTTCTGATACTGACAATAATCATCACTTGCACATTGTCTCGAGGAACAAACACCTCGTGTTCGATTCCAGCGACTTTAGGAACATGGCTAGAACGGGAACGCTAAGTGAGCCAATTTGTTCCCTACAGAAATGCGATAGTTCTGTCTTTTCTGTCACAGTAAACACATCTCTTGGTTTCCTGAGCAATTGACTCTTCACATCGTCAAGTCATTGTCAGATGTGGACCAATGTTCGAGCCTCGAAAACTATGCTAATGTTTCCTTTCCCAAAGACAGATTGGGCGACATGTGTACGAGAGATAAAGATGGAAGAATCGTCAGAAAGAAGGTCAAAGCTCAGAGTCAGCATGGAAAAGGTGGCAATGGTCTTGGTAATCATGACGCTCAACGGCACCGCAAGATCCCACGCGATACAATCAATGGCATCAAAAACCCCTCCATTCGTCGTTTGG